CACTTTCATGCAATGTAGAAATCAAACTTGAATATTATGTAAATGTGCAGTTTTTCACACCCCCCCCCCCCATTTTTCTGATGCATTTATAAAGGCTTTTGGGGAAGGGGATGTGTGTCGAGAGTTTCATGTTTTTGTGACGAGAGGTACTTTATTTGGTCTCTTCTCGCATCTATTTGCCGGAGCTTTACCTCGAGTAGAGAGAGAGGATGAGTTAGTTATCTCCTAGTGCTCGAATCCTTACTGTTCTTCAGCGTTTCATACGGTAAGCGTTTTATCATTTTTATTTTAATATCATTTTTAATTGGAGTCCCTGTAGCCTAATGGTTAGAGCACTCACATCCGGGTTCAATTCCTAGACGGGTCAGGGCGAAATGTTGGGTAAGTTTCTTTACTCCACACACACACACGCACACACAGACACACACACGCCTCTGTTTACCGAGCTTTGGGTAGGAACCCGCTTGTTAGTCAATTGGCAGATCGCTTTACCGGGGGTAATAATCCCTTAAAAAAAATTAATTGGTCACTCAATTCACGACATTGTGGGACGTTGCTGTGTGCCTCATTTCGCCCCCCAAAATAGTCCATTCACTTTACAATGTATCCTGTGAAGCACCTTGAGATGTCTCGAAGACGTGATAATGCAAGGATTATTATTATTAACTGTTTCTGTGTTTTCCCACATTTAGAAGACGCACTGCGATATAAGTACAACCCCATGTACCTCAAGTACAGTGAGTTGCACTCTGCCTAACCAGCAGTGTTTCAAAGGAGAGACTGAGGCTGGTAATTGATCTTACAGCTTGTTGGAGTCATTGGCGATATTCTATCTCTTACCTCAGTCCTTCCTCATTCATTCGCTCACCTCAGCCAGAGATCTTCTGAGATTTTATACAGTCCTGTGAAGTCCTGCAGCTCAATGTTTAGAGCACTCGCAAGCGAGAGACCTGGGATCAGTTCCTGAGCAGGGTGAAACCTTGGGCAAATTTCCTTCCTCCACCACATGCCTGATAATAATCCCTCAAGAAAAGAAAAGCAATTAATAAATTGGTCACTTCAATCCACGATTGTTTGTGTGGGACACTGATGTACGCAATTGGCTGCCGCGTTTCGCCCACAAAATATACAGTCAATTCTCTTTACAGTATATTGTGTGAAGCACTTTTGAGACATCTAGAAAACGTGAAAAGCGCTATATCAAATGCAAGGATTATCTTATCGAGAGGTGTCGCTGTTAATATCAGAATATATAGAGGTATCACTGTTCATTTTCGGACAGGATATTAACCAAAAGTCCTGTTTATGCCCTGTTCAGGTGAACATTAAAGATCTCCCGTGGCCCTATTCAAAAAGAGAAGGGAGGTTCTCTTTCTCTCTCCCGGTGTCCTGGCTGACAATCCCACAGATAAAATTGGTCACTCACTCCATGGCTATTCACAAGACACTGCTGTGTGCAACTGGCTGCCACATTTCACCCACAAAATACACGGTCACTGCAATTTATTGTACATCATATGAAGCATTTTGAGATATCCTGATGGTGTAATAAGTCACTATATGAAATTACAAGTAGTATTACTGTATACGTATTTTACAGAGTGAGAAAAATTGAGGGAGAGAGAAATAAAAGCAAACATTTTACTTCCAAATATTTGAGAAGCAGAATGGGAGATGACGTCCGTCCTATAATCTCAACCGGAAAAGTTCCATCGAGGGCTGGTTCCCAGTCTTCTCGGTGTTATTCAGGTGGAAGTAAGGCCGAAGAGTTTCCTTGAACGTTTCCTTGAAGGTGAAGATGTGAGACATGTCTTCAGCGTCGTAAAAGGACAGGCGACCTGCCTTGTAGTCAAGAAACACACCAATTCTTTCCAGGTTCTCATCTGGGTTGAGGGAGATCTTCTTTGCTGTGTACGCCCAGAACCCCTTCCCTCTCTGGTGACCCACCACCCAAAACCCGTCCTGGGGGTTGGGCAGGAGAACTGTCTTGCGATTGGCCGCTTCGGTGACCACACCGACGGACCATGTGGTGCCCTCCTCGATCCCCACCTCCCAGTAGTGTCTGCCCGAATCCATGCCAACGCTTGCCAGGACTCCAGTCAGATGGGTGAAACGGGCGGGGGTTGAGGGGATCTGATGGGGTTTCCTGCGGAACTGGATCTTGGAGCCAGCACTCGTCAGGTCCAGGTGAGGGTTTGCTGTCGTCGGGTCAAAAAAAATCACAGCGGGGACTGCAGAGGAGAGACACAAGTCAACCACAGCAGGAATAGCACTATTCACCACGTACAGTAACATTGTTCTAATTATAGTAATAATACCAATTATGGTAATAATCCGGAGGAGTCCGGTATTGTATTGGTGTGGGGTCTTGTAGCGTGGTGGTAAGCTCGCTCACCTCGCATGCGAAAAGACCCGGGTTTGTTTCCCGGGCAGATTGAAACCTTGCGCACATTTCCTTACTCCACGTGCATCTGTTTACCTAGCATTAAGTAGGAACCCAGTTGTTGGGGAGTAATAGTGCCTTCAAAAATATATAAATAAATAAACAAACAAATTAATTAAGCGGTCGCTCAATCCACGACTGTTTGTGAGACGACTGTGCGCAAGTGGCTGCCATGTTTTGCCCACGAAATCAATGCACTTTACAGTATATTCTGAGACGTCTCAACAATTTCATAAGGCAAGATATCAAATACAAGGATTATTATAATAACAGCAACAGCATTAATAATAATAATCTTGCATTTGATACAAAATCTTTTCAAGTCATTGAGGAGTCTCAAAGTGTTTCACAAGATACCCTGTGATGTGTAGTGACTGTTTTGTGGGTGAAATTCGCCAGCCAGTTTGCCAAGAGCAACATTCACAAACAGCCGTGGAGCAAGTGACTGGTTTCTAATTTTATTTGGGGGATTATTAGCTGGAACACCGGGAGAAACTCCCATTTCTTTGCCAATGGCGCCATGGGAGATCTTTAACGTCCACCTGAACAGGAAGAGATGGGATCTCAGCTAAACATGAAGGACGGCACCTCCCCTAATGCAACACACTGAGGTAAGAGCGCGACAATTGAGCCAGGTACTACTGATACTAATGGTAATAAAAGCAATTATAGTAATAATATCAGCAATATCAATAGTAATAAAGTAAAGCTCCCTCTACACTGTGCGTCCACGCTCCCAGGTCAGGGTTAGAGACACAGTAAAGCTCCTCTACACTGTGTGTCCACACTCCCAGGTCAGGGTTAGAGACACCGTAAAGCTCTCTACACTCTGCGTCCACACTCCCAGGTCAGGGTTAGAGACACAGTAAAGCTCCCTCTACACTGTCCATCCATACTCCCAGGTCAGGGTTAGATACAGTGTAAAGATCCCTCTACACTCTGCGTCCACACTCCCAGGTCAGAGACAGCTCGGGTTAGAGACAGTGTCAAATTCTTGCAGAGGATTAGCCATGGGAATTAATTAAACTGTACCAGATTCAATGATGCCGAGCATCCTTTTCCAGACTTTGTACTGCAAAGGACCTGTGAACTCTCCGAAATTGCACTCGGGCTCATTCAACACCAGGTCATATGTCGTAAAAACCGAATTATACCTGTAACGTCAAACATTCCTCAGTGAATAGTTCAAACAGGCAGATTGAGCAGCATTACAATAATTGTCCACAAAACACACAGTCACAACACTTTACAGAGTATCCTATGAAATGCTTTGGGATAACTTGACGATGTGATCAGGCCTTATATCAAATGCAAGGATTATTATTGTTATTGAGGGTTATTATTATTAGTAATCCTTACAATGAGAGAAGCTATGTGCAGAAATCAACAAGAACAGATGCCCTTCGCGCAGGATAGCATCTCGGGGCGCTTAACGATGGCGGAGTTTGACACTGAGCCGTGGGGTGGGAGCAAATATGATCAAAGTGGAAGGTCTTCAGGAGCAATCTGAAAACAGGCTAGAAGAGGGAAGAGGAGGGATTGAGGTAGGGCGTGACAGAGGGTTAGGACTTAGTGGCTGAATGTGTGGCTGCCGATGATAGAGCGGAGGGACATGCAGGACGAGGGCCATGCAGGAGGCCTGGAGCCTGTCGAGAGGAGGCAGCGGGTGGTGGATTGGGGAGTAAGTAAGTAGGGAGGTGTCAGGGCCTGAAGGGATTTGTTGATGAGTGAGAGGAACTTGAAATTCATCCACTCTGCATAGGGAGCAAGTGGCGCCTGGCGGGGACGGGTGAGAGAGTGCTGGGGCAGGATAAGGGGGCGGACGGGAAAAAAACAGACAGAGCAAAGCATTGGAGTTCTCACCTTGCCAGAAGTCCATGATAGTCCTGTGGAAAGAAGCGAAAACATGATGGTATAGGTTCAGAAAGCTTAACGTGAAAATCTCGCGAGTTTCTGAATTTAACTTTGGGGTTAAACCTTTCAAGGAGCCAAGCAAAGTGGGATGCAGGTGGAGGAGGAGGAGAAATGACCAGACATCTCCCTTTCTCTCGAACCTGCTCTCTCCCTCCGCTCGACAGGCTGTGACCTCCTCTTGTTCCCAAGACCCTCCGCCCCACCATCGGCAGCCATGCTTTCAGCTACTATGTCCCAAAGCTGTGAAACTCTCTCCCTCAATCACTTGACCCCTCTCTCTCCATTTTCAGGTTGCACTTGAAGACATTTCTCTTTGACCATGGTTCACCTTCCCCCTTCATGTATCCCAATCTCTCGCCTCTTTCAAGGTCCGTCTCAAGACCTTTCTTTTTGACCGTGCCTTCGGTCATCTTTCATCGTGAACACCCAACTTGTTTGCAAGCCCTGACCTGTCCAGCGCATTGACACATCCTCCTGACATGAAAGACACTGTCAAATGATAATAATCACTGTGTTTGATATCGCACCTTATCATATCTTCAAGACAAGTGCTTCATAGGATATACTGTAAAGTGGATTGACTGTGTATTTTGTGGGCAAACCGTGGCAGCCAGTTTGCACACAACGACATCCCACAAATGGCCATAAAGTGAGTAACCAATTTTATTTGGGGGTTGTTGTCCAGGAAACCGGGAGAGAGAAACTCGTGTCTCTTTTTGAATCATGCCACGAAGATATTTAATGTCCGCCTGACCAGGCACAGATGGGAGCTCAGTTTAACGCCTCATCTGAAGGACAGTACTTCTACAGTGTACCCCCAGTACCCTCAGAGCTGCAATGGAGGATAGGCTTAGACTGTGTGACTGCAAGTCCTGATATGGGGGCTTGAACCCACAAACCTTCTGATTCAGAGATGAGAGTGCTACCACTGAGCCAGGGTTAGGGTTTATAAATATGGTTATTGTTGATGTAACTTGACTAAGTGTCCAATGTCCATTTTAATCCATCCACACCCACGTTTATGGTTTTATATTCAGAACCATGGAAATTGACAGGGTTGGTTGGCATTTGAGGAGGTCACAGAGCTGGAGGTGCGGGTGAGACTGTGGAGGAAATGTGTTGTCAGCATAGCCTAGCTCTCGCCTCTGAGTCAGAAGGTTGTGCATTCAACAACAACAACTTGCATTGAAGCCTCCGCTTCCGCTTAAACTATCAACGGCAGCTACATTTGATGCTTGGATGGAAGCCCATGTCAAGGAGTGAGGGGAGGGGCAAGTGGCCATGTTTGATGCTGGCACAGAACCCTGTATTGAGGAGGGAGGCAGGGGCAGCCATCTTCATCTGGCATGGAACCCCTCAAAGAGGGAGGGGGCCATATTTGATGCTGGCATGGAGCCTGGGACTGTCTTAAAGCACCCCCCCCACCCGCCTCCCCACTCCCTCACAAAATAATAATCTCACAGAGCCTATGCTTCTGTGCCGTAAATTTTTTGTGGTTGTAAGAAATGATGACACCACCTGCAGTAGATGTTGAGGGTTGTGTGTGTTGAACCAGGGCTGGATGTCGTTGATGATGTTTTTGATGTTCTCGGTTTCCCTTGTGATCAGGGCCACATTCTCTTCCATTACCCTCAGGACTCGCTCCTCTTCCTCTGCCAGAGTCTGGATCAGCTGCTCCTCCTGCTTGTCCAGAAAGCGGTGCATTGCTTTCAGGTCCTCCCCAACCTGTGCTCTCAGGCTCTCAGTCATGTTCTGTAGAGGCCGATCCAACACCGACATTCAGTTATTAATAGTAATAATTCTTGCATTTAATACAGGGCCTTATCATGACTTCGAGACATCTCAAAGCGCTTCACAGGATATATTGTAAAGCGCATTGACTGCTTATTTTGAGGGTGAAACGCGGCAGCCAGTTGTGCACAGGCGAGAGAGAAAAACTCCCTTCTGTTTTCCAATAGTGCCGTGGGATCTTTAAAGTCCACCTGATCAGGGCACAGATTGGGAGCTTGGATTATCGTCTCATTTGAAAGATACTGCCTCTGACAGTGAAGCGCTCTGCCCAGCACTGCGCTAGAGGATTAGCTTAGATTGTGTGATTCCAAGTCCCTGATGAGGGCTTGAACCAACATTTATTGAACAATGCTTCTGGTTCTAGCTCCTTCCCCTGACCCCGGTTTCCGAGACTTACCAGATATGTTGTAATCGTCTCTCCCTGTAACTGCTGCATTGAACGATACTCCTTCAGCTTCCCTTCCAGAAACGCAAGCGGCTCTTGTAGATTTGCCTTGAAAGAAGACAGATTCAATCAAGTCATTTATGTGTGTCAGCCTGGCTCAGTCGGTAGCGCTCTCGCCTCTGAGGCAGAAGATTGGGTTCAACTTGAATCACATAGTCTGAGCTGATGCTCCAATGCAGTGCTGGGTGGATGTTCCATTGTCGGAGGCACCGTCCTTCAGGTGAGACATTAAACTGATATCAGGACTTCTGCCTCTTGAGGTGGCCGCTAAAGATCTCCCGTGGAGCTATTGGAAAAGGAGGGATTTTCTCTCTCTCTCTTGCTGTCTCGCTCTCTCCGTGTCCTGACCGACAAATCCCCAGATGAAAATGAATGTTTGTGGAACATTGCTTTGTGCAAATTGACTGCCATGTTTAACCGACAAAATACACAGTCACTGCACTTTACGGTGCTTTGAGACATCTTGACTACGTGAAAAGACACTATATCAACTTTGCGGGTTATTAAGGATTATTATTATGCAGCCAGTTTATACAATACAGAGTACACTTATACACCTCAGGAAGAAGTCTCAAAGCACTTCACAGCATTCACTGTAAGGTGTAGTGACTGTGGGTTTTGTGGGCGAAAGGTGGGGGGGGAAGCAGGGAGCTCGAAAGCACGGTCGAAGAGGAGGGTATTTAAATGGGTCTTGAGGGAGGCAAGGGAAGGGGCGAGGTGAAGGGACTGCTGGATGGAATTCCAGAGGGTGGGAGCAGAGTGGCCCTAGGCCCTCCTGCCAATAGGGAGTGAGCAAGATGGGGAACGTGAATCAGGCCGGAGTCTGCTGAGCGTTGGGAGCTGGCAGAATGGTAGGGGATTAGGAGTTCCTGGAGTTATGGGGGGAGCAAGATCATAGAAGGCTTTGAAGGTGAGGACCAGGATCTTGAACTGTATCCTCTGTGTGATGGGAAGCCAGTGGAGTCGGGGGAGGATGGGGGTGATTGGGTCAAGGAACCTGGTGCGGGAGAGGACACGGGCTGCAGAGTTCTGGATGATCTGCAGCCTGTGGATGGAAGAGTTGGGGAGGCCACTAAGCAGGGAGTTGGTGTAGTCAAGCCTATAATCAAGGCATGCATGAAGGTTTCAGCGGCCTGCGGTGTGAGACAGTGGCGGACCCGGGTGATGTTGCGGAGGTGGGGGAAGGCAGAGCGGGTCATTGCGCAGATGCAGGGTAGAAAGGATAGATAAGGGTCAAACAAAATGCCAAGGTTCCAGACTGGCTTAGCAAGGTGGAGTGTACGTCCATGGCTGGTGATACTGTCAGCACCTGAGGTGATAAACTCCTGACGGGAGCCAATCAGGAGTGCCTTGGTCTTATTGATGTTTAACTGAAGAAAATTGGCTCTTATCCAGGACAGGCAGTCTGTCAGGACAGCAGTGGTACTGGAGGCAAAGAGGTACAGTTGGGTGTCATCCGCACACATCTAGAAGTTGACCCCATGTCTGCGGATGATGTCACCAAGAGGGAGTGTATAGATATTGAAGAGGAGGGAACCAAGGACAGAGCCCTGAGGAACGCTACATGAGACGGTGCAGGGGCTGGAGGAGAAGCTGTTTGTGTGAGATGAAGTGGAGGCGGTGTGAGAGATACGAACTGATGAGGAAGATGAGGAGGCAGAGGGAGCCCTGGTCGCAGATGGACAGAATATCATTTGTCACTTTGGCCAGGGCTGTTTTTGTGCTGTGGGCAGCACCAGTTGGAGGGGTTTGTGAAGGGAGTGGCAGGAGAGGAAGGAAAAGGAGAGGAGTGAAGCTGGGAAGCAACAACTTGTTCCTGGACCTTGGAGAGGATAGGGAGATTGGAGATGTGGGGTAGTTTGGGAGTAGAGATTGGTCCAGGGAGGGTATTTTTAAGAATCGAAGTGATGACTGCCCCTTTGTATCTAATCAAACAGAAGATTCCAGCTCCACCACAGAGACTTAGAGTCTACAGTCCAGACTGAAACACAAGATCAGTGTTGGGTGGAGAAAAACATTGGCCTTCAGGGCTTGTCAGCCTGTTCAAGTGGCTGTTTCTTTTGTGTGTGATACTCATGCAAACTTATTACTGTGATCATCCGGGTGTCTGACACACGCAGAAACCCATCACCGTGATTAGCCGGGTATCTGACAAAGTGGAAACTTGTCACAGTGATCAACTGGGTGTCTGACACGTGTAAATCCATCATTGTGATCAGCTGGGTTTCTGATTTGCGCGGTAAAGTATCCAAACCAAACTGAGAATATCATGCATTCTATCTACACATTGAAATTCCCATATATTGGAATGGAACGCGCACTCTCTACCTAGTGGTAATAAAATAATTCCATTAAAATACTAATAATAATTTGTCACTTCAATCCCCCCGGTTTGTGAGACACTGCTATGTGCAATTGGCTGCCACATTTTGTCCACAAAATATACCGTCAATTAAGTTGAAGTAACTGACTAAGAATATTGTGAAGCACTTTAAGACGTGATAAGGCTCTATGTCAAATGCAAGGATTATTATTATTTATTATCCTGCTTATCTAATTCCAGAGAGTATAAAGGGCAGGCTTGGCGAGAGCCAAGACTTGGGGACCCCAGAGTGTGTGTTGGGATAACTGCTTGAGTCTAACCAGCCCAAACTGCATAGCTTGCCATTGATACCACTGTCTGGGAAGCTTTCCCACCGCTAGTCCAGTTAGGACCACCCTACCCGTTAGGGCTTTGGCTGCAGGGTTAACAGGAGCTGCCAAACAGTTGCCAAACACATATCGAAGATCTGTAAAGGGAGTTTCCTCTGCCTACAGATATCTTAAAGATAAATCAGCATTCTGGGGGAATTCTATTTGCAAACTCATCGTCAGCAAGTTTATCAGGAGAAATCAGCTCACAAGGGGTTCCTGGTACCAGCCATTCATCCAGTGAGGACTCAAACCCACACTTATCACATGTCAAATATCCAACTAGTGACTATCCTCAGGGGGACAGTGTAATTGTTTTCTCCTCAACTAGTGACTATCCTCGGGGACAGTGTAATTGTTTTCTCCTCAGGGCCGGCAGATATAAATACAATAATGATAATTTATTTTGCATTTAATATACAAGGTGCCACGAGACATTAATCGTCACTCTCCATCTGTGCCTGTTCAGGTGGATGTTAAAGATCTCCCGGGCACTATTGGAAAAGAGAAGCACGTTTCTCTCTCTCTCTCTCTCTCTCTCTCTGTGTTCTGGTCGACAATCTCCCAGATAAAATCTGTCGCTCGCTCCACAGCTGTTTGCAGGGACAATGCTGTGCGCAAATTGGCTTCCGTTTTTTTCCAACAAAAAACACACAATCACTGCACTTTACAGTGCATGAAACTGAAAGAATTGTTTACTTTACACTTTACAGTGCATGAAACTGAAAGAATTGTTCTTAAAGAAGGCGGCAACAGTCACACAGAAGGGTCTCGTTCTGTATGTGAATCTGTTCCCAGTGCTTTCTCCCATGTGATGAGACAATGCATTAACCACAAAGATTACTATCATTATACTTATCGCCTTATCATGTCTTTGAGATGATAATATAATGTAAAATGAATTGATATATTTTGTGAGAGTGACTCACAAGCAGTTATGGGTGACCACATTATTATAATTACAGTCAACCTCCACATTGCACGATTTAACTCCCGGAATTAAACTCCCTAACCCTGGATTTTATCCTGTAGAAATTTTCAAACCATAAACCATCAATTTAAGCTTACAAACATTTAAAGTACAGACCTTAAACATGGCTTTCAGTGTACGTAAGAAATCTGCTGAGATTTCCAAGTCTTTGACATACCAACAAAAAAACTGATTACCAGAATGAAACTAAAAGCCAAGGATCACAAACCAGACGTTTCAAAGTTTCTCCAGGTTAAACTGTTTGATTTAACCGTCAAACCCCAGTATTTAACTGATCAGAATTTAAGCAAACCCTGACTACAGTGATAACAACAGCAACCTGCATTTACACAGCACCCTTCACACAGGGCAGTGTCTCGGAGCACGTAACAGTGGTGGAGCCATACGCAGATCATAAGCACAATCAAAGAGTAAGGTCTTCAGATGCTATCTGAAGGCAGGGAAGTGGGCAAGGCAGAGGGATTGCGGGAGAGAGTTCCAATGTTTCAGGGCGTAGAAGCTGAAAGCATGGCTGCCAATTGTGGAGCAGAGGGGACAAGGGACGAATAGGAGGCTAGAGCCAGCCGAGCAGCGACAGTGGTTTGGGGGGTAAGCAGGTCCAAGACGTAGGGTATGAAGGGATTTGTGGACGAGTGAGAGGATCTTGAAGTTGATACGTTATGCAATAGGGAGCCAGTGGAGTCTGGCGAGGACTTGTGTGAGGGGGGTGTGGAGTTTAGAGTGGGTGAATGTACAGGCGGTGGAGTTCTGAATCAGTTGTAATTTGTTGTTAGTGGAGCTGGGCAGATGGGTGGGCGGGTGGGGGATTGGAATAGTCGAGGGGGGGGGCGGTGGTGACAGAGGCTGGACAAGGGTTTTGGCTACATTGGGTGTGTGGTACGGTAAGAGGTGGGCAAATGTGTGACAGATAAACTCTGTTAAAGGAGCTCTGACCTTGCATTCCGCCACAGCATCATTGATGGGCACGCATTTGTGCTGTCTGTGGGCTTGGGAGAGGGCACAGATCAGGCAGATGGGCTGCCAGTCATCCTGACAGAATAGCTTGAGGTCCTCGTGATGGGTCTTGCACTCGGTCCATCTCAGAGCCTGGGCAGAGGTGTACAGATTCCGTAAGGTCTGGATCACGCTCACCAGCTGTCTGTTGGTGTAAACATCATCCAGGTTGATCTCCGATCGACATTGGGGACAGCAGATGATACGTCCCCCTGGCTCCTCTTCGTCCTGCTCCCCCTCCAAATCCAACTGTCCCTCCCCCACCACCGCCCCTTGCAAATCCCAGTCCTCCTCCTCCAACTCCCCCTCTCCACACCTCAATAAACAGCTGCGGCAGAAATTGTGCCCACATTTGGTTAATACGGGATCGGTGTAGAAGTCCAGGCAGATGGGGCAGGTTAGGTCACACTCCAGATTGGAAGCCATGGCAGGTGGAATTGAGACCGAACAAATTTTTGTGGTGTTTGTTACCCTGTCCACACCCTTCTGGCCTGCGCATGCTCACATGCCTGTCAACGCCTATCAGTTCACAGTTGCCAATCCAGATAGAGAAGGGAGTGGCAGGCAGGCAGCCAGGCAAGCAGGCAAAGCAATGCCATCCACCCAGTCAAGGCTTAATCAATCCTCTCCTCCCATATCAAATGTCCACCTGCATGTGGTCAGCCTGGCTCAGTCTCACTTGCGCATCCGAGTCCGATGGTCATGGGTTCCAATTCCACGTTAGGACTTGGAATTGCATAATCTAATCTGATGCTAAAGTGCAGCGCTGGGGGTTTTGTTTCTTTGTCGGATGAGACTTTAAACCTCACTCCCCATCTGTGCCCTGTTTAGAAGGATGATAAAGATCTCCCCGGCGCTATTGGAAAAGAAAAGGGAGTATCTCTCTCTCCATCTGTCTCTCCCCCAGTGTCCTGGCTGACAATCCCCTCAGATAAAATCAGTCACTCGCTCATGGTTGGTGGTGGGCTGTTTACAGTGAATCCTGTGAAGCGCTTTGAGATGATGGAGTGATCAGACACTATCAAATGCAAGAATTATTATTGATTAGTGACTATCCTTGGGGGAGGTGGGGGGCTGTAAGCGGGTTTTGCTAGGACCTGAACTGGCTCCAAGTTGACATATTTGGCATCAGAATGTCGGAATCGAGCCCATCCTCTGCGACAGTCTCCAGCCCGGTTCCTGAGCCAGGCCTGGCGGGTCTGCAATATTCCAGGTCACTGCTGATAACAGCACAGCCCGGCCTGGCTCATCACCAGGACCTGGAAGGGCAGATCAGTCACTGGGGGCAGAGAATCCTCCCACTCAGCTCTTGTTCACCCTGTAGGGGCAAAGTCAAGTGACTTTCAACTGTAAACCACATGGGATTGCTGTTAATCCTCATTAATGATGGACATTAACCTCACTCCAGGGTGTGTTCTCTGTAAGTCAGAATAGACTTAAAGAGAAACCGTCACTGACACATTCACTGACACATTCACTGGCACACTCACTGTCACACTCGCTGTCACACTCACTCTCCTCACCAATGTTGAGTGAATGCTGAGGTTTTCACAGCGTGGAGTCCTGTAGCTCAATGGTTAGAGCACTCGCTTTGCAAGTGAGTGACCTGAGTTCAATTCCAGGCAGAGGGCGAAACCTTGGGCAAGTTTCCTTACTCCACACAGAGCCTAATAATAATCCCTCCAAAACCAAAACAATAATAAATTGGTCATTTTCAATCTACGACTGTTTGTGGGACATTGCTGTGCGCAATTGGCTGCCACGTTCGCCCACAAAAATATACAGTTAATTCACTTTACAGTGTGTTCTGTGAAGCGCTTTGGGACGTCCTCCCAACGAGAAAAGCGCTATATCAAGTGCAAGGATTATTATTTTATTATCTCTCACGCAATCAAACAAGCACAGAGTTTTGGGAGAGCCAGAGAAATGGATTTTATTTGTTCACCAACAAAACACAACCACGAATCCACAAGCTTTTATAAACATTAGCCCAGAGCAAGGTAGCTTTACATCCCCCCTCTCCCCCCCTACCCCGTCTCGCTCCCCCTACCATCGTTGGTCTGGGCTTCAGCCTCTCTGCTCCCACCCTTCATCCCACAATCCCTCCACCTCGCCCCTCTCTTGAGGGGAGGGGTGGGGGGGAATTCACCATCAGCAGTATTAGCTCGCCCAGTTGAATAATTACTCCAGACACAACAATACCAACCAAATACGTTTACACAGGATGCCCCAATGTGCCGGATAATGAAGAATTTGAACCTGAGCTGGGATTTGGGATCAGGAAGGGTGGAGGGTGAGAACAAGAGTATGTGGCCTTAGCTCACTAGGCTAATGAGGGAGATTCAATTTGCTGGCAAGTGAGAGGACCAGAGTTTGAGTCCCAGTTGGGGCAAAACCTTAGGCAAGTTTCCTTACTCCACAGGCCTCTGTTTACCCAGCAGTAAGTAGTCGATTTTTGGATCATCTCATTGCCCACCTCTGACCTACCTCCCTCATAGCCAAACCCCTTCCACCAATGCCCTCCTCACCGGTTTCCCCAGCTCCACTACTCACACCTGATCCAGAACTCCACCGCCCACACGCTAAACGCCATGCCCCAATCATAGCAATCCTCCCTCTGGCTCCCAATCATACACAAAAACTCTGTATCCCCATCGCACCAGGCCTCACCAGATCCCACTGGCTCTTTATAGATTGATTTCAACATCCTTTCAAATGTTTACAAATCCCTTCACACCCTGGCATCTCCCTACCTCTCTGACCTGCTCACTCCCCAAACCAGGAGGGGTTCAGAGTGTGATCCTCTCTCTTAGAACCCAGCGTAAGAAATGGACAAAGAAAGAAGGAAAGAAAGAGAAAAAGATAGAAAGAGAAATAGAAAGAGAAATAAACTGAGAGAAAGAAAGAGAAATTGAGGGACAAAAAGTGAGAGGGAAACGAAGTGAGGGGGAGAAAAAGAAAGCAATAATAAGAGAGAAAGAATGAAAAATTGAGAGAGGAAGAAAAACAGCAAGAAAGAGAAAGAGGAGGAGAAAGAGGATGAGAGAGATAGAGAGAAGGTGAGAGAGAGAAAGAGAAAGAGAGGTGCAATGATCAGAAGGAGGTCTCTCACATGCCCTGCCGTGTAACCAGCCTCAGAGACTGGGCTTTGGAGGCAGTGCTGAAATAGGGATAGAGACTCTCAGTGAAAGTTTGGGTGAAAGTGTAGAGATGGGACATGTTGTCAGCGTTGTAAAATGACACCTGTCCCTCCTCATAATCCAGGTAAACTCTGACCTTCCGAGGTCTCTGAGAAGGGGTCAGTGGGGTTGGAGGTGAGCTCAGGGCTCTGTAGCCCTTCTGCCAGTGCAGACTCACTGCCCACAAGCCTGTCTCGGGGCCCAGATTGGTGCTGCCTGTCCTGGGCATTGACTTCCCAGCCAGGCCCAGGCTCCACACTGGGCTGTTGCCCACCTCTACCTCCCAATAATGGCGTCCCGTGAGGAACGCCTGAGCTCCCAGCACAGAACGTCTGTCAGTGAAACGGCCCGGGTTCTCCATCACGCTCTGCTGTCCAGCGCTCAGCCTCACCTCCGCTCCATCCTCTGAAATCATCAGCCGCGGATGTGCTGTGCTGGCATCGAGCTTCAGCAGAGCCGGAACTGGAGAGAAACAGGCCGACAGTCACTACACATACACTCACAACAACGACAATCTGTGATCACCTGGCGGCCTTCATGTGTGACTGGTGTCTCGCAGTGTTTAATAATAATAATAATCCTTGCTTTTGATTCAGTGTTGAGACGTCCCAAAGGGCATTGCAGGAGATACTGTAATGTGTAATTACTCTCTGTAATGTATAGTTGCTTTGGTTTGGAGTGAAGTGGCATGGAGGGTATGGAGGAGTGTAGGGAACAGGGTGACCGAAGGCACCGTCGAAGAGGAAGGTCTTGAGACGTGCCTTGAAGGAGGTGAGGACGGAGGGCCTCAGAGAATTCCAGAGGTTGGGGGCAGAGAAGCTGAAGACCTGACCACCAGTGGTGGAGCGGGCGAGACAGGGGACATGAAGCAAGCCGGAGCCCACTGAGTGGAGGCAGCAGACAGGTTGATAAAGGTTCAGTAGGTCACAGAGTTAGGGAGGAGCAAGGCAATGGAGGGCTGTAAAGGCGAGGATGAGGATTTTGAACTGTATCCTCCGGGGGATGGGGAGCCAGAGGAGGATGTGGTTGATTGGCTCACGGAGGTTAGTGCGGGAGAGGACACGAGCCGCAGAGTTCCAGCCTCTAACATACACCCAGCGACACACAGGCACCTGGAGCGATGACTTGCAACATGCGTTTCCAGACTGCGTACTGTAGAGGCCCATTCATCTCCCCCAGACCCACGTCCACAGGCACTCTCAGGGGGACCTGGAATTTATCACACGTTTGGCCCAGGCTGAAATATAAAGCCTGGCTTAGACTGGATTCATAATCAGTAAAACTAACATTCCTTTATCTGGTACTCTCTCTGTTCCTCTCTCTCATACTCTGTTACTCTTTCTCTCTCTCTCTCTCTCACTCTCTGTTTCTCTCATACTCTCTGTTACTCTCTCAGTTTGTGTGCTTTCTCGCTCACACTCCCTGTTTGCTTCTCCCACACACTCACTCTCTGTTCTCTCACTCACCGTTTCTCTGATCCTCTCTCTCCTCCCCCTCTCTCCCTCTGATTCTCTGCCACTGTCTTCATTTCTGTCTCTCACCCGCTCTCTCAGGCTGTGTTCCTCTATATCTCTCACTCTCTATATCCCCCTTCCTCTCCAACTCTCTTTTTCTGTGTCTCTCTCCCTCTCTCTGTTCTGATTTAAGCCTTAAGAGCATTTACACGGGGGCAATGTCCCAGAGCATTTAACAGCCTGACCCGAGCCAGGGGAGAGATGGGGGAAACGACCATATGCGCGGTCGAAGAGGTTGGTCTTCAGATGCAATCTGAAGATGGGCGAGGAGGAGGAGGAGGAGGGAATGAGGCAGGGAATGGCAGCTTCTGGAGGTGGAATGGCTGAAAGCACCTCCACTGATAAAATAATAATAATAAGCCTTGAATTTGATATAGCGCTTTTCACGTCTTCTCGACATCTCAAAGCGCTTCACAGAATAAACTGTAAAGTGAATTGACTGTGTATATAGAGGAGCGGAGGGAGGGAGGGAATGAGGCTGGAGTTTGCCAAGACATAGAGAGTGGGGACTTCACATTCCTTTGTGAGCTGAGACAACAGGAATTTCTGGAAATTTGGAATTCCCCGCCATTTCCTACAGAACCAGTTCCAGGAGAGAGGGAGGTTTCGTTTTCACTCAGCTCCTGTTAACCCGGTGAGGTACAGCCCCAATGCAGTGTGGGCCAAGCTTTTTGGTCGATTTTTCTTGTTTCAATACTTCTTGGTTGATGACTGCACCATAAATATCTCAACTAATTAGCGACTGGAAACAAAATATTGATTTAACGCATCCGCTGATAGATTTCCGTGTGTGTCAGACACCCAGCTGATCACTTTGATGGATTTCCGTGGTGATGGATCTATGGATCTCTGACAATGCAACCCCCACGCTCTCCCCCTTCAGCACCGCGTTGTGTCAGTTTAGATTATGTGATTCCAAATCCCAAACTCAACCTTCTGCCTTGGAGGCGATAGTGCTACGTTGAGCTCGGCTGAGACATAAGCAAAGATATCTCAGAAGGAATTATTTCTGCAAGTGGATATATATGTAATTGTTATTATTATTGTTACTTTACATACCTCTCGAGGACCAGCTTGACATTCTGAAATGTAAAGAAATGGGATTTTAGCTTCGTATATAACTTTTAAATACCTCCACAATTATGACCCACCATGCCAATGTGTCCGAGTGGATGATCAATTGGATGGCTATTTTAGTTACTTATCCTTCTTAGCGGGAAGGGAGGTAAGTGGGGTCTCCTTGGAGCTGAACTAGCTCCAAAGTGACAAATTTGGCAATGGGACGTCAGAGTTCTGCCCACCCTCTATGACGGTCTCTAGTCCGGTTCCTGAGCCAAGCAGGGCCGCAGTATTCCAGGTCATTGCTGATGTCAGCACAGCCTGGCCTGGCTCATCGGCAGGTCCTGGAAGGGCAGACCAGTCACTGGGGGCAGGGAGTCATCCCACTCAGATCCTGTTAATTCTATAAGCTAAAGACGGAAGGGTTGGGAGGTCCTAGCTGGACAAGCAACAGGAAAGCTTGCCAGACAGTGATATCAATGGCAAGCTACACGATTTTAACAGGTTAGACTCCAGCAGTTCCCCAATGCACACTCTATGATCCTCAAGCCTTGGCTCCCGCCTAATACTCTCTGGGATTAGGTAAATAAGATGCAACCCTCCAGAAAGAGAGAGAGAGAGAGAGAATGAATGCATATTTCATTCCAATGCACAGGAATTTCCTTGTATATGATGGGTTCCATGGAATTCAGTCTGGTTTGGTGACTCTTAAGAATGGTGATGGGTGGCTGCATGTGTCAGATATCCACCTGATCAGTGTCATCGTATGTGTCAGACATGGTAATGGGTTTCCACCTTTCAGATACTTGGCGGAGCAAAAAAACTTTATATCTGGGGGATTGTTGGTCTTGTCCCAAAAACTTTAATGATTACCCGAATAGGAAATTTAACTTCTCATCCAAAGGACGGCACCTGTTACAATGCAGCACTTTCCCAGCACTGCCAATCGACTGAGGCCAGGACACTGGGACTTGTTTAAACAGCAGCTCAATGCTGTGATGGGGGAAGGTGGGGTGAGTGCTCTGGAGACATGAGGTCAGAAATGATCTTTATATAACATTGAATTGGAGCTTTTTCCCGTCAGCTATTTCTCTCTGAATGATTGCTACCTTTAGCAGGTCACCATCTTGCAAGCCAAGCCGTTGTTGAATGTTCCTTATGAGTTGCTCGGACAGGGTGATCTCTCTGGATGCTTTTTTGATGTTCTGCTCCAGCTTCAGAAGCAGATCTGCCTCCCTTTCCTTCAGTCTCTGAGCCAGAGCCTCTTCCTCCTCACTGAGAAACAGGTGGAGTTTCCCAAACTCATGAGCCATGTTCTTCTGCAGAGCAATCATTCCTCTCTGTCGAAATCCATCCCAGCATTAACAAACAACTTTAGCATCAATATCATCAACAATATCAATGTCATCATCAACATGAACATCACCAACAAGAGCAATATCATTGTCAACATCATCATCACCATCATTATCATCAACATCAATATCACTATCATTATCATCAACATCAATATCATCATCATCATTATCATCAACAACAAGATTACATGTGTATAGTGCCTTTCACGTTGGGAGGACCTCTCAAGGCGCTGGACAGAGTACAGCATTTCAGACCCAAGCTGAGGTCGGGTGGGGAAGGGAGGGGAGGGGAAGGAGGGGGTGGTCAATGACATGGTCGAAGAGGAGGGTCTTGACATCATCAACATCATCAGCATCATCAACATCAATTTAATCAGCATCACCAACAACATCATCAACATTAAGTCAATCAGCATCACCAACAACATCATTAACAATACCAACATCAAAACATCATTAACAACAACGTAAGTTCCAAATCCCAACCCCCAACCTTGTGACTCTGAGGTGAGGCAGCGTCTGTAGAGTCAGTCGCTCACCTTCACATCGGCCACACTGCTCTCCTCTGCTCTTCTGGTTTCCAACACCTCATCTGCGTGTCTGCTAATCTTCTCCATTGCCTCTTGCAATTTGCCCTGGAATAGAGAATATTTTCGGAATGACGCAAACCAGACAACAACAAAAGCAATAACATGTATTGTACAGTGATGGGACAGAAACCCATCAGCGTACAATACAGCGCCTTCACATGGGGTACCAATAATGCTGTTGTGAAGTAGGGTGGGGTGGGGGAGGGGGGGGGACGAGGGGTGGGGAAGCTATTTGTTAATTAGAGCTCTAATAAACCAACTGAAAAGACATCACCATAGCTAGTTGTCAGCTTGGGTCAGTCACACACTCTCACCTTTTATTGGGAGTTTTACGAGTCCAAGCTCCACATCAAGACTTTGAGTTTACAGTCAAGACTGACATTACATCGCAATGCTGGGGGAGTACCATCAGGTGGACACGACTCGAATAGAGAAGGGAATATCTCTCTACCAGAGATATGTGTGTCTTCGAAGGAGTTGCATTAAAGTGAAAGCTGGACCTTCACATGAGGAAGAGAGGAATGAAAGGGAATAAGGAGTGGATGGAGGCTCATGTGCAGTATAATCATTGGTACGGACTGGTTGGCCTGTTTCTGTGCTGTACATTCTTTGTAAATATTAATTACATTAAATATTATAAAATACCATATAAATATATTCAATATTATTATAGATTTATTTTAGTACAGACGGGTGACTGAACAGTACTGTGCTTAAGCGTATTCAAACCAAGCTGAGAATTCCATGCATCCCACCTACGCATAGATATCCCGGAGATAGATTGTTGGTAAGGAATGTGCGCGTTCTCCCTGGAGGAATGCATCCTGCTTACCTATTTTCAGAAAGTATTAGGCGCAGGACAGCAAGAGATAAAACTTGGGGTTGCAGAATGTGCTTTGGGGTAACTGCTGGAGTCTAACCAGTTAAACCCGCATAGCTTGCCGTTGATATTGTTGTCCAACAAGCTTTCCTGCTACTTGTTCAGCTAGGTCAACAACAACAACAACACATTACACTTGTAGAGGACCATGTTACCCGTTAGGGCTTTGGCTACAGGGTTAACAAGAGCTGAGTGGGATGACTTTCTGGCCCTTCCAGGTCCTGCTGATGAGCCAGCCTGGGCTCGGCTGTGCAAAGACCTGCAATACTGTGGACCCACCTGGCTCAGGAACCAGACGAGAGACTGTCACAGAGTATGGGCTCGATGCTGACTTTCTGTTGCCAACCATGTCACTGTGGAGCCAGTTCAGCCCTAAGGAAACCCACTTACTACCCTCCCACCCGAGAAATGTTATTATTGACACGATATTAATGATATTTAACATCCGGTTACTAATTGACATTAATAATTATTGTTGATATTGTGGTAAACACAGCTCATAAACAAATTCAGGTAACAATCAGAAGCTACTTTGCCTTGTATAGAGCCACAGCCTCCCTTATGGGAGTGGCTGTGTGAGTCCTGTGAACGCTGCATACACACTCGAGACAGATGGCCCTCTGATCAGTCTCGCAAAACACTTTCAACGGCTCGCCATGTTCATCACAGCCCAGCCCTGTCTCCCCACAAGTTGGACTCAGCATCACTTCGCTCCCCACGATCCTGGGCAAATCGTCTCTCACAGTGAACTGTTGCTGCATTGAGGGCAGGAGACAGCTCCCTGGTCCGTCACCAGACACTGAACAACAGACACTCAGCAGTAGACGTGGCCGTAGTTTAACTTCATCAGGTCCATGTAGAAATCCAGGCAGAACGAACAAGTGGCTTCACTTTTTATGATCTCCATTTCCTCCCGATCTGTTTCCATTTCACAGGCTGCTCCGCACAGCTCGTCTTTACAGTTTCCCAGCCATCCAGGAAGTTATTGCTGTGTGTAGAGGGAGGGAGGCACGGAGAGCCCTTTGACCATAACAAGTTGGTTTATAATGGGGCAGGGCATGGTGGTGGCTCAACCGGCTCCTGAGATAGGCAACCCATCAACGTGACAGAACCTTGATCTCTGAAACAAAAGTGAAACCAGAGGAGAGAGAGAGAGAGAGAGAGGGGAGACAGAGAGAGAAGCTGTGACTGTAACCAGAGGAGAGTATGCATGATCAGCCCGGGGTCCGACATACTTGGAAACCTATCAACCTGATCAAGCGGGTGTCTGACCCACATGGAACTCAGCCACCATGATCAGCCAGGCGTGTGACATGTGAGGAAACACATCGCTGTGATGGAGCGTAAAAACAGACAAAAAGTTCCATGCATTCCACCTATTGAAAGTATTGAAAATGAGCCTCGCCAAGCCCCGCTGGCTCCCTATCGCCGAGTGGATCGAATTCAAGTTACTCACACTCGTTTTCAAATCCCTTCATGCCCTGGCACCTCCCTACCTCTCCCGCTCACCCCCCCCCCCAACCAACAACTCGCTGCCTCTGCTTGACTGGCTCCGGCCTCTTCGCGTACTTTGTATTCTGCGTTCCACCATTGGTGGCTGTGCCACTATGTCTTGAAACTCTGGAAAACTCTTCCTCTATCGCTCCGCCTTGCTTGTCCATTCCTTTCCCATATTCCCGTCGCACCTGAAGACTTTCTATTTGTCCGTACCTATGGTTACATCCCCCTCGCCCCGGGTCAGCATCGTGTTCCGTCACTGTCAAGTGATCTGGGACGCTACCCTACGAGAAGGCCGTTATATAAATGCAATTTGTTGTTGAATATATTCGTAGTTATCAGAACACTGGAAAATGAAATAGTAGATTTTCTTTAACATACGATACCGCAGTTGGCCAGAATGAGGAGATGTTGTACTGTGAAGTATCAAAGCCCTCCACAGAGCGCCACCTGTGTGTTACTGTAAGACTCAACTATAATGAGTGTATAGCTGCGTAGAATTGAGTGGTATTTTAATAACAGCAACAGCAACAAATTGCAATTATTCAGCACCTTTTATGTCAGGTGGATGCCCCAAGGCTCTGGACAGTCAAGGGTTTGCAACTGAGCTGGGGGTTGTGATCAGAGAGGGATGGAAGGTAGGGGCATGGGATGGGAAGATGACCTAAGGTGCGGTCAAAGAAGGTCTTGAGATGAACCTTAAGAAAGGCGAGTGAGGGTTGAGTTGTAGGTGTTCCGGGATGGGAGAGGCGGACAGTTTCACATGATTATATTTTCACATGATTTAGGTATTGTGATGGTGAAAATCTCCACTTCAGTCATTGAAAATTGTGTGTGAAATAAACTGAAAAACCTCATTCTGTGCCCAGGTCTGGTATTGCAATTAATAAACCCACAAAAGTGGCTGTTTATCTGAATGTGGAAGCTTCAGTGGGCATCTGCAGTCAGTACAGAGCGTAGAGACAGGTACTAAAGGCCGTCACTCCAGCTAACACAATCTTTTCTCTGTTCCTGTGATTGGAATCTGACTCTGGAAATAAATATTGAGCAGATTTTTGTTCTCACTCCTCACCCCCTCGAGCACCAGCATGTCGACATTTTCTGTTTCAGCTCCAGCCTCTCAGACTCTGGATCCTAACACATCCCTGGCTCAGCCTGTCTGAGGACTGGACCCGAGTGAGAGCTGGTGTCGGAGAGAAGCAGGTTCCTGACACCCTGGAGAGGTTCAGTCACTGGCCTGGAGTCCTGGGGGTCTGAGGGGTTCACATCAGGGAGACACAGTGGGGAGGTGGGGGTGGGGAACAGCACGCTCTGGATTGTGGGGTTGGCCCGAGAGTCTGTGCCCAGGAAGAGGTTATTCATACATGGACCTGAGGTGAGCATTTGGGCTGTGTGGCAGCACAGTGGGCAATATAAAGCTCTAACCTCATCTCATACCCCCTTGCCCTGGGCATGAGACCCCGGGTGCTGGGCGCGTACCTGGGCTATGCAGGAGGACACTGTAGGATGCTGACTTCATGTTTCTTCTCTTCACTTCCTCCGACACGTTCATTGAGAAACTCTATCCTTACTTCAGCGCTGGCTGTGCCACCGAGTCCCTGACACTGATTCACTGACAGCACAACAGTGACTAATGAGAGCATTAATGTGAGTCACGTGTTACTGGGCAGAGAGAGGGGGCGAGGGTGGGCAATGATGGGGAGAAGGTGCCATCGGCTTTGGTTTGCTAAAAATAGACAAGACCTGCTGCTCCCTGCACTTTGAACTTTGAGGCATTGATATCAAATATAAAACATATTATGATAAACTCTTGGAACTAATGCTTTGATCACATGGCCCTGCCCAGGAATCGCTTTCCATGTAACTGTACAGCAAAAAACACTCGTGAACCTTGTGAAAAGTTATGGTGTAACCGTTATTACACAGTAAAGTGGACAAATGTGCAATCTCTCTGTGTGACATGTGAGACTGTGATGTCAGGATGGCCTGTGATGAGATATGGGACACAACACAGAATGAGGAGCAGATACAGGAGACTCCAGACTGTATAATGTCACGCAGCAAGACAAATTATATCAAGCTCCGACTGTTAATATCAGACAAAGATATCTCTGATAGTGTCAGAATATATAGACTCGTCACTGTTAATGTCAGATTTCATAGAGGTGTCACTGTTCACATCCGACTATATGAAGGTAGTTATTGCTAATGTCAGACTATATAAAAGTGTCAATGTTAATATCAGATGAAATAGAGATGTCACTATATTAAGGGGATCATTGCTAATATCAATAATATTGATAAGTAAATTTCAATATCAAATAAGTAACATTGCACGCCTCTGCCACTTGCCAGTGCCTCCAGTCTCTGCTCCCTCACTGTGCTCCACGAGCCTATAAACCGTTCATCACAGGTTAGCAATGCCATATTTGTCAGTTGTAAATATTGATCAACAATATCATAAAAAAGAAAATACAATAATAATTGTTATATTATTATAATAATATAATAGATTATAATAATATTACCCCATGAGGTAATATTATTATTATAATAAAACACAATAATAAAAGAATAATATTGCGATGTGAACCGGGTGATGTTCAAGCAGAGACATGGTGACCACAAGGTTGTCCCTGTGGCGTCAACTCACAATGGTCTCCAGACGTGACAAGGCTTGTAAGCTAAATAATGAGCTGTTGCTGACAATCAGGAGCTGGTTCCTGTCGCTTCCCACCTGCTCCATCCTTGGGGAGCTTCACATCTCCAGAGAAGAGCCAGGAGTCCGCCTCGGAGCTCTCACTGCTATGCAACCGCCTCATTTATCATTCTGACAAAGACTAGAGTGATAAACCACCAAGACAACTGTCCACAAACCTCTCCACACCACCCCCCCCCCCCCCCCCACACACACACACCCTGACACACACTACACACACTCACATAGACACTCTGTCACCCACACAGATCCACCCACGAACAGGCTCTCAAGCCCCCTCACATACTGACTCACACACTGTCAGATATACACACACACTCTGCCACACACCAAATTACACAGACACCCTGACACATTTGCTCACAAAGCCTCAACACGTTTGGATGTGTATATCAAATACAAGGATAATTATTATTACAGTGGAGTATCAAGTGGAAGTTTGTTCTTGGTTTCTTTAAGAAGCAAATAGCTTGTGGCGTTTTTAATTTAAAAAATAACCCCAAAGCCTTCTACCAGAGGTGTGATTGCAATCCGATTGGCATTGAGTGACGTGAGAATCTTTCCCGTATTGGGATCGGGGGTGGGAGGAGGAGGAGGTGGGTGGAGTCCTGTAGCTCAGTGGTTAGAGCACTCACCTCACAAGGGAGAGGACTTGGGTTTGATTCCCAGGCAGAGCGGAAAGTTAGGCAACTTTTCGTTCACCCCACATGTCTCTGTTTACCTAGCAGTAAGCAGGAACCAGGTTGTTAGTTAATTCGTAGATCAATTTCCAGGGTAATAATCCCTTCAACAACAACAAAAAAAAGTTGTTCAGGTGACTTGTCTACCTTGAGCACCGAAAACCTTTTTAGTACCTCCTCTCAGTTTATTCTTATCCTATCCAATTTCTCTATAATCTTCTCCGATACTGTGGCATTGGCTGCAACCTCTTCTTTTGTGAAGATAGATACAAAGGACTCATTAAGTACGTCAGCCATGTCCTCTGCCTCCACAAGAAGATTTCCTCTTTGGTCCCTAATTGGACCCACCCTACCTTTGACTAACCTTTTATTCTTTATATGCTTATAAAATTCCTTAGGGTTCTCTTTCATGTTACCTGCTAATCTCTTCTAATGTTCTAACAGCCTTCTGACTGCGATCAAAGGTAGGATGAGTGGAAATTTCCTGCAGCTGAACGTTGGCAAGCCAGAAGCCATACTCTTCGTTTCCCTTCAATGTCTTCTTTCCTGCGGGAACAGAGAGACCTGGGGTTTCACATAACTAAATATTTGAAGGTGGCAGGATAAGTTGACAAAGCTGATAAAGAAGTGTTTGGAATCCTTGGCGTTATAAATAGTGGCATAGTGTATAAAAGCAAGACGTTATGTTGAATCTTTATAAATCACTGATTAGGCCTTAGTTGGAGTATTGTGCCAATTCTGACGCCACACTTGAGCAACAATAGAGAGGCAGTTTCTGTTTGTGGGTGGGTTGAACCAGAGGACACAGTTTCTCCCTATTTACTCTGTCAAAATCCATCATAAATTTGAACACTTCTAACTTTCTTGGCTTTAAGGAGAAAAATCCCAATCTCTCTAGTTTCTCACACGATTGAAATCCCTCATGCCTGGCTAATGATTTGACTGAGTTCAAATCTGATTTAACAGTCCACTGTAGATCTGTTTGGACCACATCAGAATTTACAGCTCCACCCACGGCTCTGCTAAATGGTCCTTCTAATCCAAGATAATCATGCAAGCCAGGACAACCCCAGGCTTCTCTTATCCACTACCATTCGGCTCCTCCGTCTACCATCTCATGCCTTGCCCATCCTCTCCTCTAACTCAAACTGTGAGGAGATGCTGGATTTCCTCGAGACCAACATTGAGGGATGTGTTTAGACACATCCACCCTCCCAAATGCCACCCCTACCCCAACTCTCCCTCATACTCCGG